TAGGGAGCTGAGCTGTGTGAAGCCTGATAGATGGTTGGGGATGAGAACTACAAGACTGAAACATTTCTTCAGTCTGAACATTCCTTTCACCCTAACCCTACCAGTCATGTTTTATTATGTTTAACCTGACCCCAGTTTTACTACCTATGGAAAACTGCCGCAAGGTGAGCTGCATCATGGGTAATGCAGGCACCAGGTTTTGGCTGAATATAGGTTAATTTTTAGCCTGTCCATCCAGCAACACTGCAGGGGTGGAAAGTAGGCTAGTTAAGTACAGTTTCTCAAATACTTTAGGCTGCTTAAGCACAGTTTTGAAGTATTTGTACTTTAGTGTTTTCATTTTTGCTGCTTCACTAGCCTACATTTTAGAGACAACTATTCCTACTTTTTGTTGCACTACATTTATTCAATCATTTTAGTTTTTTTTTTTTTTACAGAATCAGATGAATGAACTGAATACAGTAGAGTCATAAGACTTTACTAATCCCTGGAGGGAAATTCCCAAGCTATCCAGCACATTATTAGCATACAGAATCAAGTAGTTAACATTAGCTCCACCTTTATCAGTTGCAACATTAAATGTGATGCACACAATAATGCATCAATAATTATAATCTCTACAATAATGTAGCCTAAATATACAGTCCTGCATAGTGAGTACTTTTACTTTGGTACTCTGAGTAGGCTATAGTTTGCGTATGAAAATACTTTTGTACTTTTTGGTACATTTTTTGAATGCAGGACTTTTACTTGTAACCGATTATTTTTACACTGTGGTAGCGTATTGCTACGTTAAATTAACTAAGTATTTGAAAGGTTTTTCCACCACAGGGACACTGTTAAAGGAGGGAAGTACTAAATCAGTGAAAGACAACTAGTCATGTCGAGCTTTCATGTATTCTTGAGCAGGATGTGTTATTTTGAACATTTTCTGCATTTAAAAAAATATTGCTTTAAAAATGTTATAGTATTATATTACATTTATAAATTACAATTATAAAAAAAATTTAACATGAACAATAAACATAGAAATGTGGTCAAAGAAAAATAATCAATACATTCATGAAAACACAAGCGTAGATACAGTAATATTGATATTAATGAGTCACTTAAGGAGTGAAGCATCAATATTTGTTGTAAATTACTCCAGAGCGTCATAGCAGCAAGTCTGAAAGAAACAGTTTGAAGCTCAGACCTTTTTGTGGTAACCTGTAACTTCTGCAGAGTGGGTTTGACAAGCATCAGAGCTCTCTGTGACAGTCCAAGTGGAGCTGCACATATGCTGTTTACACAGGGCCAGCCCATATTTGAAGATGTATATACACTTTAACCCAAATAAGCTACAGTTTTTGAATTGAAGTAAGCTTTAAAGGAGGTCATTGCTGTTGTATAGTGAAACAAAAGTGATGCATTGAAATTAAAGAAATTTGAAGTGAAAAACTGAACATTTAACACTTTTCATTTAATTTTATTCTTTGTGTTTATTATATTATATATATATTATACAAGTCAAGAAAACAAAACAGTGCATTACAGCATTTGTAGTACCAAACAACAGTGATATATTTCTGTAAACAAACTGCTCACATCCATGGCTTTAGTCCACTTCCTCAATAGTGGGGCCCTGGGAGCTGCCTTTGGCCTGGCTGTCGCAGCCTCCTGCTGCTGCTCCCTGGTACAGTTTTGTAATAATTGGCTTGCACACACTCTCTAGTTCTTTCTGCTGATGCTCATACTCATCTGTCTCAGCCAGCTGGTTGCTCTCCAGCCAGGAGATTGTCTGGTTGCACTTGTCAATGACCGTTTTCTTATCCTCCTCGCTAATCTTTCCTTTCATAGTCTCATCCTCGACACTGCTCTTCATGTGGTAGGCATAGGACTCCAGTGAGTTCTTAGCTGCAATCTTCTCCCTCTGCAGGTCGTCCTCAGACTTGTACTTTTCAGCATCCTGTACCATCCGCTCAATCTCCTCTTTGCTGAGGCGGCCCTTGTCATTGGTTATGGTGATTTTGTTTTCTTTGCCGGTGCTTTTGTCTACGGCAGACACATTCAGAATGCCATTGGCATCGATGTCAAAAGTGACCTCCACCTGTGGTACACCTCGAGGTGCAGGAGGGATACCTGTGAGCTCAAACTTGCCCAGCAGGTTGTTGTCCTTGGTCATGGCTCTCTCGCCCTCAAACACCTGAATCAGCACACCTGGCTGATTATCTGAGTATGTGGAGAAGATCTGGGTCTGCTTGGTGGGTATGGTGGTATTGCGTTTGATTAGTGGTGTCATAACTCCACCAGCAGTCTCAATGCCCAGAGACAGGGGAGCCACGTCCAGCAGCAGTAGATCTTGTACGTTCTTGGAAGTGTCACCCATGAGGATAGCAGCCTGGACTGCTGCACCATAAGCCACAGCTTCATCTGGGTTGATGCTCTTGTTCAATTCTCTACCATTAAAGAAATCTTGCAAGAGCTTTTGAATTTTAGGAATTCTTGTGGAGCCGCCAACCAGGACAATTTCGTGGATCTTGGACTTATCCAGCTTTGCATCTTGCAGGGCCTTCTCAACTGGCTCCAGTGTTCCCCTGAAGAGCTCTGAGTTGAGCTCCTCAAAACGTGCCCTTGTGATGGAGGTGTAGAAGTCAATGCCCTCAAACAGAGAGTCAATCTCAAGGCTAGCCTGGGTGCTGGAGGATAAGGTCCTCTTTGCTCTCTCACAAGCTGTACGCAGTCTCCTCACTGCTCTCTTATTCTGGCTGATGTCCTTCTTGTGCTTTCTTTTGAATTCCTCTACAAAGTGTTTAACCATCCTGTTGTCAAAGTCCTCCCCGCCAAGGTGTGTGTCTCCTGCAGTGGCTTTCACCTCAAAGATGCCATCTTCAATGGTTAGGATGGACACATCAAAGGTGCCTCCACCAAGGTCAAAGATGAGCACATTGCGCTCTCCTCTTTTACCTTTATCAAGGCCATAGGCGATGGCTGCTGCTGTGGGCTCGTTGATTATTCTCAGAACATTCAGTCCAGAGATCACCCCTGCATCCTTGGTGGCTTGCCTCTGAGAGTCGTTGAAATAAGCTGGCACTGTGATTACAGCATTTGACAGCTTCTGTCCCAGATAGGCCTCAGCTACCTCCTTCATTTTTACTAGAACCATAGATGAGATTTCTTCTGGATAGAAGGCCTTGATCTCACCTTTGTACTCCACCTGGACTTTGGGCTTTCCATTATCGTTAATCACCTTGAAAGGCCAGAGTTTCATATCAGCCTGGACAACGGGGTCACTAAACTTTCTCCCAATAAGACGCTTGGCATCAAAGACTGTGTTGGTGGGGTTCATGGCAACCTGGTTCTTGGCAGCATCTCCAATGAGCCTCTCAGTGTCAGTAAAGGCCACATAGCTGGGAGTGGTCCTGTTGCCCTGGTCATTGGCAATGATCTCTACTTTGCCATGCTGGAAAACCCCAACACATGAATAGGTGGTGCCCAGATCAATACCAATCGATATTCCTTTAGCTGAGGACATCTTGTTTGTTCCTTATAAGGTCCTAGAAAAATTAGGAAGAGAACACATTTACAATTTTGGGTGCCACTGAAATCAAATAATTTGTGTAATATTAATCTTGCAAATAAATAAATACAGTATGAGGTTGTAGTGGTATTCAGGAAAACTGCTTTGAAAGTGTAGCTTTCTAAACTACCAATTACATTACTTCAGACTGGAAGAAGTTGAAAGCTGCTTGTATAACTTAAGCTACTTAGAAAAACCAGTTCAACCTGTTAAGTTTGTTACTTGAGACCTAAACCTGTCCTAAGTAAAACAATCCCACCTGCACTGTTCACAGACACAATCACAAAGAAAGTTATATTTCTATTGTAAACAAATCTGGTTTTTGTATCATCTGGCTGCAACTAAAACAGTAAAGAAAATGTATTTAAATTTCTTACTTTAAAAAGTATTTAAATTTGTTTTATACAAATTCATTTGAATGTGTTAACTCACTTCAAGATTACAAATAAAACAAAAACTAATTCATTTATGATTCCTTAATTTAGAACTTTTATATGAAAAGGCCCAAACCACAAGACTGAAGTCACTTAACACATTTGTCTACAGTCCCATACTCACATTCCACTGGATCTATAATCAACTGTGAATCAAACTTCACCATTAATTAAGGCATCATCTAAAACAGAACTGATACACTGGGATAAGTGGTTTAAAATAATACCTGAAGATGCACCCTTCACAATCACAGATACATTTTAACATTAAGTTTGAGCTGTTTCCATTTAAAGCCCTTAACCACATGCATTTAAAATCTGAAAATCAGTTGCTACTTACGTTCAGCAATACACTCTCTGTTGCTCAAAGATGTCGAAGGATCTCAGAAGTTTCCCTAAGCAGTTTCCTTTGTGTCTCTTCTGAAATTTATGCCTGGACTGACTCAGGCCCATTGCTTATATAGCTATAACTGGGTTTCCAGAAGTCTCCCAGCTCCTCCTCCTCCAATCTCAGTGACTCAGCTGTTAAAATTAGCAGCTAACACAACTGGTCTGGTGCGTGAAAGCTGCTGAATATTCCAGAGTGGGACAGTAGTTAACGCTCAGCCTGCTGGGCTGACTATGAAGACAGTGTAGACAGTGTAGTAGCAGGGAGGTATGTGGAGGTGTTAACACTGGTGAATGTCAGTTTTATCCCTAAAACAATGGACAGAACCACTCATCTAAAAAGCCCTCTTGTTTTGTTGTCATTTTTCTGGGTATAAAGTTAATCTCTGTTTTCTCTGCTTTATTGCTGATTAAATGCATTCTTTTTAATACAGAGTATACACGATTTAATCACATGAAATATGGTCAACCACTGGATCAAATTAAGATGGTTACAAGCAAATGGCAAAGATGAAGTCTAATATTTTTATCGACATACAGCTCATACATTATAGTTACTGTACACATACTACCAGAAGCATAGGAAGAAAGACATTCAAATGTACCAGTAACAGATGCAGGGTTTTTTTCCAAAAGGAATGCTCATTTTATTAAGGTCAGTGCTGATATAATTGATGAAAATGACTTAAAAGGCACATTCATACCATGGCCTTAAAGGTACCGTCCAGTCAAAATACTCCTCAGCGAGACAAAGCTCAGCTGGAATTTGAGTGAGCAAATGGAAACTTGGCATGGAATGAGGGAATTTATAGTAATGTGAAAATGCTTTAAGAGCCCCTTCTCACTCTTCTCTGGGAATGTATAAAACCTGTTATCTTTAACATAATCTGAGACATAACAAAACATCAGAATCTGTTGTTAGCATATTAAACATTACTTTGTTCAGGGACAGGATGTTGAATGTGAACAAAATGAGTCAGGAGTTTAAACTGGTTATTTTGCTGTAATAAAAGGCATCCCTGGATGTTACCTTTTAGGTCATGTATGCAGATACCATTCAATGAGATTATTTAATACAAATAAAACAAACCAAATAATGTACATTTAATACAGAGTTCGTTATGGCTCAACCTAAACTCTGGCTTGTGTAATCTTCTTATCAAACCTTAATGCTATTTGACAGACAAAACATAAATGGTATCTTGTGTTCCACACTTATGGCCATCATTTGACACTGTGCGTGAACAGGGTATACAAATAAACATAAGCAGTAGCAACTAAATAAGAACATACACATGAACACATGCAAGACGTAAAATGTTAGTTGGTTACACGTTTACAAGTCTTAGTTTTGATAATTAACACTATGTCTGAAGAGCTATTAATAAGTTACATTCAGGATAGGTAAAATAATTCCTCCATTTTGTAACAATTTAGAAAATAAAACAGATATCTCTATTTATCCCAGGGCAACAGTGTGTTGATACCAGACACTCTTGTTAATACCTGTGAACAAAATACAGGGTTATTGTAAACATGTGGGTTTATTATACATACTGACATCCGTCCATCCATTATCTATACCAGGAGGGGTGGCAGGGTGGGGTTGGGGGGGGCAATCCCACAGTACCAGCTGACATTAGGTCAGAGGCAGGGTACACCCCAGACAGGTCGCCAGTCCATCACAGGGCTGACATGTAGATAAACAAACTAAATTGCCTACAGGCAATTTAGAGTCACCAATTAACCTAAGCTGCATGTCTTGGGACTGTGGAAGGAGGCTGGAGTACCCGGAGAGAACCTACGCAGGCACAGGGGAGAACATGCAAACTCCACACAGAAAGGTGCCAGGTGGGCCGGGGCTCAAACCCAGAGCCTGCTTGCTGTGAGGCGACTAATCACTGCACCACTATGCCACCCCATTATACTGACACACTGAGGTAAAAAAAAAAGAAATGATCAAAAATAAGTAGGCCAGTCAGGATAAGTAGTATAGGTAATGAATGGATAGACAAAATATTCCAGAGTGAGAACTACCTGTAATAATTAGGTTTGAAGGGGCCATTCTTATTGAGGCCCATGTACTTGGCCTGCTCATCCGACAGCTCTGTCAGGTGTGCATCAAAGTTTGGAAGGTGCAAACTGGCCACATACTCATCTGGAGGAAAGAGACGGATTAAAAACAGAATACTTTTTTTTTTTTTGCTGGACAATGTAATTTTAAGGTCAAGTCACAAGGTAGCAACAAATAGCAATATATAAGTGAAGTACTACAAACAGGCTGTTTTATATAACCTAAAACTGCATTGCAGACCAATCATATACTAAAGAGATGGCTCTTACCCATCTTCTTGGGCAGAAGATACACATCCTGTTTATAACGTCCCTCTGGAGCATTGAACAGCTCAATCAGGGCCAGGGCCTACAAACGACACAGACCACACAGTGGCTGTAAGACTCATAAGAGATACCAGGAAACTAGACGTTACTACAGAACAGTGAGGTGACGTGTGTGAGGCATCGAAGCATCTGTCATGAAGTGTCAGTGAAGGCCACTGCTGAGAGGACAAACTGCTAACCTGAGTTGTGGCTGTGATGGACAACACAAATGTAGGCACTGTGGAGCAGCTCAGATTTAAGAGGCGACCCTGAGAAACAACAGAGTACATGTCTCAACTATGGAATTATGTACAGAAACTAAGATGAACTCAAGAGCAGCTAGAACTTAAACTCATAATGTGATACAATAACATAAATGTATGCAGCTTTTGTATGAATGTTAAACTGACCCATGAGGTTCAAGTAAAATTACAAAGGACACGGTTTTTTGAGGGTATTCGGCTGTAGAGGGACGTTACCTCTGCCAGCAGAACAACCCTCTTTCCATCAGGCCAGATGATGTGGTCAACCTGAGAGCGAACCCTCTCCCAGGTCAACTCAGGGCTGCGCAGACTCGCCTTAGGACACAAGAGAAAAATACAAGTAAAGAAATGAAAGGAAGGACTTTGCGCAAAACAAAGGTAATTTATTTGTTAACACGACCACAGGGAAAAGAATATCTGGAAAAAACATCACGAGAACTCAAACAAAGAACAGCAGAACACAAAAGTACTTTAATTATATTTAAAAAAGAGAGAGAGAGATCCAGTAGTGGCTCATTTCATGAAAATGAATCATCCAGTCTCCTCCTGTGAATGCACAGTATAGGAATTGGTTAGTTATGTTAGTTATGTAAAGAGAGAAGGTGATTTAGAGACATTGCAGGGAGGCAGTTAAAGTCAGAAAATGTTAAAGGAGGACTTAGCATGAGTCAACTTTCTAACACTCAAAGTGTTTGGTTATGCCAAAAAAACAAGATGGAGAAAAGTTGCATGACGCTGTTAAACTTGTATTGAAGCTTACACTGGTCCACACATTGCTGCGTGCGTGTTCCCCAAGTTAGAAATAGAAATTTTCCAGACGGATCCAAAACTCTGACACACATACAATGACAGAGATGTATTACCACATCAATCTCCGTATTGGAGTGCCCCATATTGCAGACAATGCAGCCATTCTTCATTCGGTCGAGCTGTTCTCTGGTAACAACATTCTTGTTGCCTGCATTTGAAGAAAAAGAGCAGTGATGTTGTAAACTGTAAAGTGGGAGTGAGTCATGTCCACAGAGGTGAAAATCAGTTTCTGTCACATCAGTGGATTTACGACTGCATGGAAACTTACGTATTCCTGTCATCTGACTAGCAGACACAACCAAAAAGCATTTTATCTCTTAGGTGAAAAGTCTGGTTTTGAACCCCAGAGACTTCAGCTAAGATAGTAAAATGTGCCATGCTTTTGTATGCTACAAACACTGTGATTATCAAAGCAGAAGTAATGGAAGTCACTGCATGAGGCGGAGTACCAGTGCAAGTTATCACCACGTCCATCTGCCGGATGACCTCGCTCAGCTTGACCACTCGGAAACCATCCATGCTGTGTGGATACACAAAAACAGATTTTTATATGTTTAAGCAACACAGGCTAAAAAGAACTTAAAACAAATTCCACTGTTAGTGACGCACCAAGCCTGCAGGGCACAGATGGGGTCAATCTCTGTGATGCACACAATAGCTCCAAGGGCCTTAAGAGCAGTACAGCAGCCTTTCCCCACCTACACAACACAAAATGATGTGTGAAGAGGTCTGCTGCATCAGTGAGAACCCCATCATTCTTTCAAAAACAAGAACTGCTTTTATATCAAAGAATGATTCACCTCTCCATAACCACACACAACGACTTGTTTGCCTCCAAACATTATATCTGTGGTCCTCTTCAACCTGGCAGAAACAAGCAAAATGACACTTTTACCAGTTTTCATGCTACAAACACAGTCACACTGTCAAAAGAGCAGCAGCAGCTAACTAACGGCTAGTTTTATGGATGATTAATTGTCCTCACCCATCCAGGATTGATTCACGGCAGCAGTAAAGGTTGTCAAATTTCTGCTTGGTGACGGAGTCATTCACGTTCATGGCAGGGACACTCAGCTTGCCAGCCTTAGACAACTGGTACAGTCTGAGAAGACACAGGGGTAAACATTTTCCAGCAAATACGGACACACAACACCCATGCACTTATCCACACAAATTAAGCTGTGACCTTATACTTTCCAGAGCATCTGGCTAATTGATTCCACTGAGAATTGTACAGTCATAGCTGCTGTGACCTCTGGTTGAGCTCAGTTTCAAATAGGCTGCAGCCAAAATCAGGCCAGTGACCATTTTAATCTGCAGTGTCAGTGTGTGTTAATAGTAATATGACTCATATAACTGCCTCTGACAATGTTGGGCTATCACAGTATATATCATTCATCAGGAGCTGATTTTGTTGGCAGCATTGTTTGCTTCCCACTCAGCTCCATCTAGAAGACAAAATAAAGTAAACATTTAACAGAAAAAGATTTTAAAAGCAGCTTAATCTTAGTTTCCACCGTCTTTATTATTTATGGTCCATTGTGGGCTGTCATAAGCTGCAGCACAAATGTGTAAATGTCATAATTTCTTTGTGGATAAAATAGAAATGCTTTTTTCAGTATCTGGGTCTTATTCTTACAAATTTTGCTGTTACTGCCAACAGTTATAGCTTTGGCTAGTCATCATTTGTTGAACAAAGCCATGAGTAAAATATTACCAAAAAGAAATTGTCAGGTTTGCCTAGCTACACCTTCCTCTCTTCTTTTTCCTAACACTAGACTAGCACTTGCACTGCTTAACAT